TCAGCAATTTATATTTTGCACATTTTTACGTATAACTTCGGAACCAGATGAGATAGAATAGAGCAGTAAACGGCCAATCGGCTTATTTTTTCATGCTCCTTCAGATGAAGCAATAAAATCAATAAAAATTTTTGTTGCCAATACCCTTTAACAGATAAAATCACCTTACACTACACTGAATGAAGCTTCATTATGTAAATATATGTGATGTCAAATGTCAATATTTCGTTAGTTTCGCTCAGTATAGTTTTTTAGCAACTGAATTGTCTCTAGGTTTAGAAACAATTATCAATGAAACTAGAATTCAAGTAAGTCATGGTTCTGTGTAAAAAATCAACTTTTTCAGGCCGACCCTGGGTCACTTTGCTCAAGGCTATGCTTCAAGAATTTATATTATTTCTTATTGTATAAAAATATGCGAATATTTTGATATAATACAAAACAATTCAGCGCAAACAGCTGTAACCCATTTGAACGTCTCAGTTACTTAATCAATGTTATTCCTTTTTTCAGTAACAATTAGAAAGGTTCTGAAAATTAGAATTAATTTATATTCTTCTTACCGACAAGCTTTAAAGGGTGACAAATTTGCAAGTGATAACTAATGTCATTCTTACACGCCAGCAACTTCGAAGAACAGTCTACTGTGTCTCGGAATCTTCCACACTCAGAAGTAGAAAAGGAACATTTCTACATTATTGCTTACCGTGATTCTCATCTGTCAACATAAAATCTACTGTCTGTCGAAATCGTTTAGGTTTACCTAACGTTGCGTGATCACAAATTGCGGCTGTAGTAGAAGTAGAACACCATTATTGTAAACACAAAAACCTCGTGCAATACTGTCTAAGACTACTGTTTAATTCAATACAAAGAAAGGGAAATCAGAGAGCAACGAAACATTTCGTCGTCATTTGATTGACATGTTTACGCTCAGCGAGTACAGTTCTTTCGGTTAGGAGTTTTCCCCGAGATTAATTCGTACATTCTATAAAACGAAACTTTATATAACAGTTTAAGGTAAACAAGCCAATGAAAATTATGTCTGTAGTATGACTAATTCTGAATTTTCTAATTTTTTTGAGACATTTTATTTACAGGAGGTAAACAAAGCGAACAGAGCGAAGTTCGTATGTCACAATCAGGACTCATGGCATTGAGGCGCGCATAATTCGAACACACTGGACACACTGGCATCGAATGACTATCCTTGAAGCCAAACTGTACAGTCAAACAATTTCATTCGAGTGCAAAACCAAAGAATAATGATAAAAGACATATCTTTACATAATCAAGCTTCATTCAGTGTAGTGTAAGGTGGTTTTATTTGTTATTATCAAGAATTATGTTTACCGATAAAGTATGCTCGATTTTGACACATTTTCAAATTTTACAAAGTTTGCGCGCTTGTAATTTTTGTCAAATGGTAGATCAGAAAGATATTATTGGCGATTTGTGTTGACTAATGTTAGTAGTTTATAGAAAAGTTAAAGTCATGTGCCAATCAAGTGCCACGATTTTGAAATAAGCTTTCGAAGTTGACATATTTTGAGACGATATCCTTTATCCGTTCAGGAGGGTCAATAACTGCGCTGTTTTCTATTTTATACCAAAGAATAATGATCTAAGTCATATCACCCGCGAAAATAGAAGGATAAGTGTATATTTCTGAGCAAAAATTTTGAAATTTAGGTATGAATTTGATTTAAAAAATAGCGCTGAAAATATGTCGATATTTGGCCTTCATTCGGAGTATCAAGTTGGTTACCAGTCGATCGAACATCGATCGCCCCCAAAAATAATTTAAAGGAAACTTGAGCAAAATGACATCGATTTTAGTTGTTCCCAAGGATATATCTTCAAAATACTAGAGTATGAGAGAAATCTATTTTTTAGCCCCATACTGACTTGGAGGTTTTGACGGAGACAGCCTCTTAAGTCGTACTCGATCGCCAGTCTTTTTGCAAATTCTGCTGTCTTTTCTCCTACTGATATGAAATAGTTGTTAAAGTTGTTTTCACACAACTCAGAAGTGGGTTTTGTGTAGCATGGCTGATCATTTATCTTTCTAGGGATACAACTGCGAATGATTTTCCAAATACATCGTGGTGCGTCTTGATTTAATAGGATTTGTTCGTGAACATAAAGTTTTTCGGCATTTCGTAATTCGTTCTTAACCTTGATCTTATATGCTTTAAATGCCTTATATGCCAGTCCCTAGATTGCGAGGTTTGGCGAACTATCTTATGTGATAAATGCCTCTCTTTGATCAATGATCTGATTTCAGGCGTAATCAATGGTAAACGTTTTGTTTTCATTTTAAATGTTTTTTATGGGAGCATCCATATCCAATACACTAAGGAACAAGTCAAAATAGTCTGTAATTTAATATATCACTTTGTCGCCTATGCGCTCAGTCTGTTTATAAGCCTATAAACACATTTTTTCTTGGTGGAAGTAACTATATTTTTTTCAAATGCGTTTTTCCCACCCATTTTCAAAATTCGGCGCGGGATCGGCGCCCCCTTTTCATTTTTGCGCCACCCAAGAATTGCCAGCTCGGGGCCCCCCTGCCAGCACGCCACTGATAATAACAAAAGCTAAAATCAGCGAGTTAGAACGATAACGTTACGTATTCAAGAGACAAACTGGGCGAAGGCGTTAAACCAGAAGAGGTTCGCGCATGGACAGACGAAACAAAAGCGAACGATATAGTCGCTATCGAGGAGGCGATCTCTGAGTTAGAGACGGTAATTACAACTGCGAAAGGAAAAGAACTGCGTCGAAAGGAGAACTTGACCGCTCAAGTCAGAGACGAAGAGTACCAAGAGAAACTTAAATTCGACAAGGAGTCGCTAGAGTTAAAATTGTATTACGAGAAGAAAATAGTCGAAGAACGAGCGAAAAAGCCGAGCGAGAGCGGACCGCAAAAACCCAACGTGAGACTGCAAAAGATGGAAATCACTAAGTTTGATGGCACATAATTATAAAGATTGGTTGCGGTTTTGGAACCAGTTCGAAGCCGAGATCCAAGCAGCAGACATCCCAGCAGTGACCAAGTTTACATATCTCAAGGAATTGGTCGTGCCAAAGGTGAGAATTGCAATTCAAGGGCTACCGTTTACAATTGAGGGCTACGAGAGGGCAAGAAACATTCTCCAAAACAAGGTATGGCAAATCTAGTGAAATAGTAAATAGTTATATTCAAAGTATCATGTCATTGCCTAATATTCACATCTGCCAGCCATGGGAAATACATGAATTTTACGACACATTAATGTACAACGTACAGTCTTTGGAAACCCTAGGCAAGATAAGTGAACTAATAGCATAATTCCCCGGGTTTCTTTTGTTTCAACAGGGTCGATTACTAACTAATCGCCCGTTGGCAATTAGCATAATTCCCCGGGTTTCTTTTGTTTCAACAGGGTCGATTACTAACTAATCGCCCGTTGGCAGGGTCGATTACTAACTAATCGCCCGTTTTGCAGTCTCTCTGCCGACTACGCATTAGGAAAGTGTCTCACGCTCATAATCGTGCAAGGAGCAGCATGCGCAACAGTTCGCTCAGAGCCGTCAATACTCGATAGTCTATCATGATCATCCGATCCCTGAGTTGTTGCATATTTAAATTACGCCCGCGCAGTCTCCGATTTTATACTAATATATTTAGCGTTTTTGTTGTGGTGCGTTAAATGATAGATTGCGCATGCGTGACCAATTAAAGCGTAAAAAATGCGCATGTGCAACAAGCTTTTACATCCCACAAGCAAAGAAGCAAATGTTTTAGCTTAAATTCGCTGATTGCAAGGAGGGCATGTTTGTCCATTTTTAAATGGGGGCGCAACTATGCTATTACAAACTAATAGCATGGCTTTTCGGGAGATTAGTGATTAAATGACCCCTTAGCCTCGGCAGGTTTGCGGAATTCCCTCGGGCTTCGCCCTCGGGGATTCCGCAAACCTGCCTCGGGTTACGGGGTTATTTAATCACTAATATCCCTCAAGCCATGCTATTACTTATAATAAATGGTTATGTCATTGAAAAATCCCCGGTACCGAGAAACATTAGCTAAATTTCC